AAAAAAGGGAATATGAATAGCTTGATGAAGGGCCATAAATCAAAAATCACGAGTTGATTAGGTAACGACTCACCTCTGTGGAGCTCTTTTACTGGATTTGAGGTGTGACTTTCGTCCAGAGATGAGATGAAAGAGAAAAACCTGTGATTGTTTTTTAAGATTTTTAGCTTCACCCGGTAAATGAAATTGGATAAGTTATTTAGTTTTGGGATATTACAATTTACACATAAGCATAATCATATTTTATGAATTACAAATATCAAATTTTTAATAATTGGAAAAAATGTGGTTTTTTAATTTCCAAACTAGGTAGACTTTTTTTTATGGGCACTTCGGGTCAATTGGATATTTTCATTTTTTTCATCACTAACTTAAAATCATCACAGATATTTATTTTTTTATTTTTATTAATTATTTCAATATAAACTTTAAATTAAAAATATCAAGAATTATCACATGTTTAAATTCGTTATTTATCTGTTAATATATGTATTCGTGTATGTAACTACAATAATTACATACTATTTTCTCATCACATCACAATGAACTAACATTTTTTATATGACATCAATTATATTGTAAAATCATTAAAGATTCAATTGGATATTAGAAAAAACGGGCGGATCTAGGAAAAAAGTTTTGGGGGACTAGAGCTGTTAATCGAACAAAATTGTCCGCGAACACAACTCCGTTTGACTAACAAAAACTCGAGCTCAACTTGTTCTTATACTTAAACGAACTAATCTTAGACACTAAATCGAATTTTCGTATTAATTGAGTTAGCTATTACTTATTTATTAAATGAGTCACGCCAAGCTGACTCATTTATTAAAACACGAGCTTGAACATGAGATATTTTAGCTTGACTCCATTTGAATAACACCTTTAGAGATGACATATAATTTTTATAACACACACATGCATATGATTTTATTTTATATTAAATAGATATAGTAAATAATAAATATGTTGCATAAAATATATAACTTATGGGCTTTGGTGTTCTAAAATTGTGTTTGATATTATTTTATATCACGAGACGCATTAACAATTGATTCAGTATTAATAGTTCTTGCGATTATTTTTCGATCCCGTAAAATGGCATATCTTGCATGCTTTGGTATTTCAATTTTTATTTTAAGATGTCAAATATCTCATACATTCAATTTTATTGAATCCTATATTACAAAGAAAAAACACCAAAGATGGAGAGTGAAAATTTACTAACAAAAATATTACGTACTTAGAAATGATTAATAGACAGAGCAATACAATAATTATTAATAATTATGGAATGTAGGCATAAATTGAATATACTTCTAATATATATTTATAAAATAAAGAATAAAAAATGATAATATACTTACAATATATATATATATATATAATAAATAATTAAAAATTTGGGGGAACAATAGCCCCTAGTTCATAACGTAGATCCGCCCATGATGGAAAAATTGCCAAATAAAAAATGAACTACCCAAAAAAAAATGAAAATATCATGAGTTGACTAAGACCATTTCAATTCATTATCTTATTTTTTTATCTTAAATTACTAATGTGCATTAAAAGTAAAATTTAATTATTACCATGATTTTTTTATAATTTTTATTATCAATCTTCTTACATTATTTTAATTATTAATTATTTTATTATTTTTACATAATTTTAATTATATTTTTATCTTATATTCTCATCTCATTATCAAAATGATTAATGACTGAAAACAATAAACATATCAAATGATTTATTAGCTGACACGTGTCTATGAAACCACGAGACAGACCCATATCCCCACGTGAACGCTACACGGCCACCAAAATGTCCGAAACTCACTTGAGCCATAATATTAATCCTGTAATATTTGGGCCAATAAGCCCATTAATATATGACGCCCATGTATATACATCTTGGGCTGCTCAAAGAAACTTGTTAAGCCCAATGCAATTTTATAGAACTGGTGAAACCCGATGTATACTCTGACCCGCAAATTAGTTTGTGATATATTTCATAATTATTTATTTAGATCTGTCCAATTCTGCTGAATTTAGGAGAAAAAAAATATTTTTCAATCATTATATAGAGTCATATTTCTTACTAACTTAATTTAATGACCCCTAAGTAGTTTAATTCCCTTTAGTTTATAAGCACCTAATCCTATAATAACTCTATTTCAAGCAGTTCGAGCATAATCAGGTCATCTCAAAACTCGATTTCTAACTTATATTTTTGTATTTTTGTAGGTATTTGTAGCTCAATCATGATCAGTTCATTGCATGGTCTATGTTTGACAACCCACTATATTCTGATCTCTCAAATTCCTCTTACCTCATAGTCTCCAAATTGATAATGTAACTCCTTAAGCCATTACCAAGCTATTATAGTTGGCTATATCATCACAAATATATTTTTGTCTAGCAAATAATTATGATATTTAATCTGCCTAACGATTGAATTTAATTGTATAATTTGTGTTTTTAACAATTTAAAGTATGACATTTGATTCTATAAGTATAGACTTTTTGTTAAAAATAAAGTGAGTAATTGATCAGTTTAAATGTTAAACCATCTCATACAAAAATTTGGGTTTTCAAAAGATTTGTTATGAAAAATGTAGAAGAAATGTGTGATGTGAGTAAAAGATAATTGGTTTAGGGTCCCACCCATCAAATGCATGGCTTATGGACATAATATTTCCAAGGAAGTAAAGGACAAATATATCAATGTTTTTTTTTATTATTTATTTGTTTATTATGAAAAAGAAGAGTTTATTGATAAGAATCATAGTTGGATTTTTGCTACTTTTTCCTTTTTATTTAAGCAATGTCTTGCACGTTTAATATTGTTGGACCATTCCAAATTTAACATATAAAACTATGGACCACTTATCTCCATTACTCCATCCTTGAGAAAACTCCCACCCAATAGTGAATTAATCAAAATGGGGAAAAAAAGGAAGAAAAAAGTGGTTTTATTTACTTTTTTTTTTTATTATTTTTTTCTTTTTTACTCATTCAATTTCACATATTCATGGCTTTGGCATGCTAGATTGTGATAATTAGGGAGGCAAATTGCTATTTACTTATATTTTAATTGGTACTATTTTGACAAATTTAGTTCATCTCACTATAAAATATAAATTGCAAATTTGACCATACTCTAGTAGCCACTACTTTTACGAAGGTTTTAATCGTTCGATCACATATACTCACTACTATTTCTCGAACGGTTAAAATTTTCGAGAAATAGTGCTCACGAGTGTATGATGAAATTGAAGTTTCTCGAAGAACGTCAAAGGTTTAGTATACTTGAAATATAATTATTGTTAGACCATTGGAATGTTTATACATATTTTTATATTTAAATGTTATAGTTTAAAATTATCATAAATTTAATCATAACATTTCACATTATTCGTATACTTTTAAATAAAAATATATACTTATACTCAATTGTATCCATATCCAAGTCACTTAAAAAAAAAAAATTTATTATCTAATAAGGTTGTTCCCATATCACTTAAAAAATTTGGCATGCATCCATTTTAAAAATACCATTGTAATTCATTTTTTTTTTTTTNTTCACTTCTTTGTTTTGTGTTTTTTTTTTTATATTTAATTCAATTATTATTCAAATAACACTTCTTAATATATATATCAATAATTTATATTTTTCATTTTTTTCATTCTTGTTACGTCTATAAATATACCACGATTTTGTAACTTTTCTTCCAAAAAAAAAAATCAGCAATTGCTCATTTGCTTAAAAAATGAATGTCAATAATAGAAAAATATTTTAAAAATTTTCAAGATCGAGAATTTCAAAATTATATTCGTAGAAGTTGCGAGATATGAGACAATACAACGTCTTTTTGCTACCAACTTCGTGCAGACTTAGTTGAGTATATTTGGACTTATTTTGCTACCAACTATTTTTTTTTTTGGTTCTACTATTTTTAATTTGTAATCTTAATTTAAGCTTTTTTTATGTAATAATGGTATTTATATTTTCACGCATTTTAAATTAAGTATTTTAATTAAAAAAATATATTTATTTTTATTAAGAATATAATATTAAATTTATATTTATGAGGAGATAATGAGTCCTATATATGTATTTATATAAATGAATATGAATGTGGGTGTGTGTTCAAATGGAGAAATGTTTAGTGGAAATATGATGTGGAGATGACGTGGGTGAGAGAGAGTGTTAATTATTGATTGAATGAATAAAAGGGATGTGATGCCCTCAATGTGTACAATATAATATTAAAATGTCCCCCAAAGCCTTTGAGATGCTGACAAGCAAAATTATTAACAATTACATCTGAACCAAAAAGACTCCATTTTTATGACATTGACCTTATTTTTGTCCTGCAAAACCCCACAATTTTTTCCACACCTAAACCAATTAGACCTAAAATCCCCACAAAAAGACAAAAAACCTTAAATAAGACACCACAGCAAAAGTACCATAATAATTTATTATAAAANGTTCACAAATTTCAACAGAAGAAAACAAAAGTGATAATTATTAATAATGACGCTAACTATTATTTATTTTGATGACATTGTTGACAAGCTACTAAAAGATTTTGCAAAAATACAAAGGCTTGTTAGAAAAGTCAATTTTGCAACAAAAGATTTTTTTCTTATTTTTAATTTTTTTTTATCGTTTTGTGTTTGTGTCTGATTTTGCTATTTTTTATACTACTCTCTCCTATTTTTATTATTTGTCTTTCTAATTTAATTGATCATCTATTAAATAAATGTCGTTTTGGCTATTTTGTACATATTTTTCCATTATTACCTTCATCTAACTAATAAATTCACTACGTCTTTTCATATTCACTCTCCATATTTTTTCAAAACATCAATCTCTATCCTCATTAATGAGGATTATTATTGGCAAATAAAATATTCTTAATTATTCTACAACTTTCCAAAACGACATTTATTAAAAATAGGAGATAATACTATTTAGTAGCCACAAAAACACTCAAAAAGCAATCCCAACTACTTATATTTAATAAGGTTTATTTATGGAGTTATTATATTTTATCTTTATTTTTTGAAAATGGACACTTTAATCAACCACAGTTAAAAATATATATTCAAACATAGTAGGGTTTTAATATGCTTGTTCTTCTAACTTAATAATTTATTTTCTAGTTTATTTTATTCTATTTTAATTTTGTGGTTGTGCCTAACCCACTTAAATCCTATTGATTCCCCAAGATTGCGTAAGATTTGCAAAATTGAATGAACAAGCAAAGTAGCAAACACCCATATGTAGAGTTAAACTCTATCAAATAGGATTTCTAAAATTTCAAACAATCTTGGGAAATCGGTCAATTTTGAT